GGAGTCGCCCGCGTTGCTTGGGAGAGAGAATCCTGGGATAAAGAGAGAGACACAAAGATAGAGAGAGACAGAGACAAAAAAGGATGGGCCAACTTCGATTAAGGGACGGATAGGAACAGGATAAGAAACACAGAGACAGAGTCAGATAGACATATTCAAGGAGAGATGGAAATACACAGAGAGACCAGAGATAAGGACTAGACAGAGACGGACTAAGACAAAGACACAGAGAAAGTCAAAGACACATAGTGGGGGGTGAAGAGAAAGGAGGAGACAGAGAGACAGACAGACAGGCAGACAGATGAACGTAGCTAGGGCAACTCAGCTGTGAGAATGGTTGTGTCTACGTGTGTGTGTCCAGTTCTCATTCACAGCCTCGAATGTGGCCCTCCATCCCAGAGCCCCTCCCACCCAGCCCGTCCTTTTTGGCCCTCCGGTCTCAGCACCACCTCCTTGGATGTCCTTTCCACAGGTGGAACTTCCTCACCTGGACCCTGCCCAGCAACAGGCCTGTTGCTCCTTCCCAAGGCTCCTTGCCCTGGCTGCAAGGGGGAAACTTGGCTTCAAGACCCTGTACCCTCTGGAATTAAAGCTAGAAGTCAAAACACACTGACCAGATATCCCATGAGGAAGGCAAAGATAGGAAATAGGACAGAGGCAGTGGGCCTGCCAGGATGACCCAGAGAAGTGTGTCTACTGTCTTCCCTTCTCCCCCACTCAAGTCCACTGTCCCCACAGAAGACCCAACTGGAGTTGTACCAACACATGACTCACCAGGAGTGGTATCCGCCTATCCTGAGGCTTGTGAAAGGATAGGGGAGGGGAGGGTGAGAAGGTCACACCTGTCTCCTGGTAGATGGTGTCTCAGGAAGAGGGATTTGGGTGGTGGTCTTCAAGCCTGGCCTCAGAACCTGGTTCTGAGCAACATGGGGGACCTGATCTTATAGGAGCCCTGGTCCAAAGGGAACACAGCCTTGGCCTGTGGTTATGGCCCTACTCTGGGAGAACCTGGATGGCCACAAAACAGTCCTGGGAACCCCCATCTGAGTGGACGAGTAAAGCGACCTTTTGGGAATAAGGACATCCACCTTGGCATCTCTAGCTCTGCCGTAGGATTCAAAACAGACTTTTGGCTCTTTTCACTTATGTGTATTGAAAAATTGCAACTAAAATTAACTCAGCTCTAGGGCCTGCCTTTCCAGATCATTAGCAAAGTTCATCGGTGCTCCTGGTCCAGCACAGTGGATACCGGTTACACAGACACTAAGCAAAAGGATGCAGAAGTCTCGGAGATGCTACAGAAGTGGTGGAGGTGGGGGAGACAGAGGGAAACACCTGAAGATACTCCCACAAGCATATTGGGATTAGAATTCAGTGGAACTGGCTGATTTGGGGGGTGATCCCAGAAAACGGGCAAGGGAGTGGGCAGAGTGAGGCAGATGAGAAAGAAAGTGAATAGAAGGAGCAGACGAGGAGCAGGTCATCTCTCTGGGCCACTAGGGCTCAGTTCTTCTGGGGAACATTAAAGAAGCTTGTAGAACACATCAGAATTGTCGTTCCCCACTGCCTGCCACCCTCTTCCCCACTGCAAAGTTCAGAGAGGCTGAGGCATTTACCCATCCATTCTTACCCCCTTGGGTGGTGATTGTCCCTTTGGAGGAAAGAGGTGGTACTGAGATCTGAGGCAAAAAAGCAGGGACGGATGCCTTGTGTGAACTAGACCAATTTTCCTCACACATTAGCTGCGTTAGGATCCCCTGGAGGACTTGTTAACCATAGCCTTCTAGGCCAGGGGTCCCCAACCTCTGGGGCTGGGGACCAGTACCAGTACCGGTACATGGCCTGTTAGGAACTGGGCCACACAGCAGGAGGTGAGTGGCAGGCAAGGGAGCGAAGCTTTGTTGGTACCTGCAGCCGCTCCCCAGTGCTCGCACCACCGCCTCAGCTCTACCTCAGATCGCCTGGCATTAGATTCTCATAGGAGAACTGGTCTCTGGTGCCAGAAAAGTTGGGGACCACTGCTCTAGGCCTCAACTCCAGAGTTTCTGATTCAGTAGGTCTGAGGTAGGCACCAAATATTTGCATTTCTAACAAGTTCCCAAGTGATGCTAATGCTGTTTGTCTAGAGACCACACTCTGAGAACCACTGGGTTGGAACATCCACAATGTGCATGGAACTGTCCACCACAGCTCTGCCAAAACCTGGTGGGTTGAGAGGTGTGTGCCAGAGACCAACATATTTGGAGATTTAAAGAGGGGCTCAGAAACAGAGACAGGCAGAGGCCAAGATGCTAGTTCAGCACTGTAGATTTCTGGCATGGCTGTGCTAGATAACACTGCAGTAAAAGTTGTGATGGAAGCAGCACTGGGTTCTGCTTTCACTGAGCTCACATTCCAAAAGGGGGAATCTCCCGACAGCTCAGGGTGGTCAGGGCTCTGATAGGGGGAGCAGAGGGGTGTGGGGCTCAAGAAGCAGAGTCCAACCCCTATGTCCCCAAGGGAGTCAGAAAAGCTTCCTGAAGGTGGGGACCTTTATCTTGAGACCTGAAGGATAAGTACAAATGAAGCAGGTGGACAAAGAGCCCCTCTATGCTATTTGTATGCAGCTCACCAATGCCTTCATGCCATAGCATGTGCAGTCTGGGGGCCCTGGGGAGCCAGGATAGTACTGTGCATGTGTGTGCATGTGCTTAGTAGCTCTTGGAAGGGGATCTTGGTGGGATGATTGTTTGGGGGACTCCGTTTAACTGCTGCATTTACTTAATTTCAACGTCTGGAGAAGGGGACAGAAGCAATGGAAACAGCCACAGCAGGAAGAATGAAGTTAAACTGCCTAAGAGTTGAGAAGACCTAGGGGAGAAGACGACTGATGATATCCAAACACAGAATCTGCTCAAGTATACACAGATACGGGGGGATGCACCCATACTCACACATGCGCATCACATACTCAGAGGCTCACCAGAACACACACAGATACAGCAGGCACAATAAACGCACATATACCTGGTCTCATGCTCAAATACAGGGAACACACACAAGTGCACACTTAGACACATGAACCTCTGAAACACACAGACTCAGAGACATGTGAGAGGGCACATGTGCAGAAACACTGCACAGATTCTCTCTTGTACATGTGTGAGTCACACACCACACATACACATGAGAAACATTCAGAGATCACATCAAACAATTACAAGGGATGGGTACGCAAATGCACACATGCACCCATGGGCACATGTACACTCAAATCAATGAAGTCAGTCTTTCTGCCAAAAAAAAAAGGTCACTTTATAATTAAACTTAGGCCCTTCCAAGTCAGGGTGGGTATCAGAGCAAGGAGGAATGGAGGTAGTGTCCCTTTATCCTCAATTGGCATTCACTAACTCAAGTATAGCCAGTGGGGTTCACTGGAATTAGCACATGAATCAGTACTGAGGACTAGGGACTCACTTTAAAGATCAGGTCTGAAGGTGCACCCCCACACAGAGGAGTCAAAAGAGAGGGGCAGGACCTCCCCATCCCCCATAGGTATACGCTGACCACCATAAATTACACTGACGGGTCCCAGGCAAGCACCAACTTCTCCAGAGCAACCATGGACCCTGTGCATGAGTTTCTACTTAACTATAGCGGAAGACCTACCGCAACTTTCAGGGTCTACTTTAAGGACTTCCAGCTATTGACATGGAAGACTTCCATAAGAACATGGGGAAAAGTTTACATTTGTGCAAAGAATGGAGAGAAATATACTGACAACTTTAAATAGCAAACGTAGAGACTTTGGGCCACTGTGTAGACCTCCCATGTAGAAAACCTGACCACCACAATAGAGGGTGAGTCACATTTTCCAGAATGACTGGTGCTCAAGCTTTAGTGATATCAGGGGCCCAGAGAGGAAAGGTCGATATATTGGTGAGCATAATGCCAGCTGCTGTAACAAATAACCCCCTGGATTTCAGTGACTTCATACAGTAGTTTATTTCTAGCCACAGGTGTGCTTGGTTGGCAGCTGTCCTCTTATCTGGTGATTCATACCCCAGACTTGTTAATTTTGCACCTCCACTATTTTGGGGGGGGGTGCTCAGAATCACCTGCTTCCATCTGGCAAATAGAAAGAGATGGGGTGGGGAAGATTCACCACCTTCTTAAAGAACTTGGCCCAGAAGTGACCTTCAAAGTTCCCTTCTGCCTATATTTTTTTGGAGAGAACTAAGGAGGTGGGGGGGCTGAGAATGTATGCCAAGGTTGGGCAGCTCCCTCCTAGGCACAATTATGCAAAAAGAGTATGGATTAAAATGGACCTAACATCAATCACCACCAGATTCACAACCTCAGAGGAGGCAACAAGAAGAAGCTATGGGACCTTCTTTCATCCACCACACTAGATCCTGCTCCACCCTAATCACCCACACACCTAACCTGGTCCCTGCCTTTGGGGTGGGTAATCACGAATTTGACTCCTTTGAGGGTAAGGTGAATCTGGCTTGATTTGACAAATCTTTAGAATGATGGTGTCCAATGCTTTTTCTTTAAACATTTATTGAGCCCTCACTGTGTTCCAGGCGGGATGCTGGGAACATGCCCATGAAACAGACACAGTCCAGGCTTTGGAATTATGTCTCCTCACGAAGCAGGAAGAGAACAGGTAATTTCTGAACCTGATGTTGTCACTCCATTATGAACAAGATGGGGGAGAGGAGTCAGACAAGGAAGACACCAAGTCTGCCAGCCAGTGATGGTGGGGGTGGAGGTGGGCTTTCAGGGAAGGGATGGGGGCAACATTGAGCTGGAAGTCACTTGGACCAAAAGGATATAGA